GTCAAATCTGTGATGGAACACCACCTTGTCAACCAGACCAGGGCACTAGTCTTTCCTTAAACACTTCCAGGGACAGTGACTCCACAACTGCCCTGGGCATTGCATTCCAATGTCTACTCACCCTTCCAATGCCTAACCATCCCTTCTGTGAAGAAATTCTTCCTAATGTCCAACCTAAACCTCTCCTGGCGCAGCTTAAGACTATATTCTCTTGTCCGTCACTGGTTGCCTGGGAGAAGAGACCGACCCCCACCTGGCTACAACATCCTGTCAGGGTGTGTAAAGACCAAATAGGTCACCCCTGACCCTCCTCTTCTCCAGGCTAAACACTCCCAGCTCCCTCATTCCTTGCAAGGAGTGTATGTGGGGGGGTGGTAAGCCACGAGAACCCCACAGGTCTGAGCATGCGTGGGAGAAGAAATCCTGCTCACGGAGGGGGGTCACTCACTCCAGGGTGCAGAGTGGGGTTTAAGTGGGTTCAGAAGAGATTTCGGTGTTGTGGGAGCAAGGACGGACTGAGAGGGCTGTTCCCACAGGTCCTCATTGCATTCCACTTGTGGAGTGCTTGGTGTGTGTGTGGGATGTGAGCTCCTGGGATGGACAAAGCCTGCTGCCCAAACTCTGAGGTTTCCTCTGAAGATCACGACTCTGCCCGTGGAGTTCATTGCTCTGGGACGCTCTCCTTCAATAACGAAAACTTTGGGATTGGGAGCACTTTGGGCTGGAATTTAGCTGGAGCAGAGGAGACCCTGCACTCTGCACAGCTGTGCACACCTGTGCTGAATTTTGCCCAGAAACTGGACAGAAAGTCCCATTTGATCCACGTTGTAACCATAAGCTGGTCAAGAAGGAAACCACGGGAATCAAGAGGACTTGACAATGGGCAAAATTTGGCCAACATTAGATTTTTCTGCATGCAGAGGCAAGACTGTGGCCCTGGGAAGCCAGAGGTTCCCTCAGGTGTCACCTCTGAAGGTCTCCATTGATGTGTGGCCCATGGAGGGCTGCGGGTACTGCATCAGGCTGAGTTGCATCAACTGGTGGCTTTTTTAAACCAAAATCTGTTTTTGAGCATGCTTCAGAAAAAAACGTAATCTTGTTTTGCAGCAGGTAGTGATGAGTTCAGCACAACTATAAAAGCTGTGCTGTGTTTCAGTACCTAATAGCCAGGGCATCCCTTGCCCCAGAGAATTTGCTCAAGTCAACCTTTTTCCACCACTGATTTGCAAAGCATCCCGTTTTTTCATATGCATTTAATATATAAATCACTGGAATCTGACATATCTTTAACAAGTCTGATTTCCAGTGTCTTCTCAGTTCATTTTCCTCTCTGAAAGTGCTTTGTGTGCTTCTAAAGACCCTTTCCCCAATTGATTTAAGTCAGATGATTCTCACTCAAGACTTGTCTTGATTTACATGCGAGACAAGTTTTCCCCACAAAGGAGGGAATTTCCATGTTAGGGATAGCACAGGGCCCAGTTTTACATTTCCAAATAGATAAAACAGGCACTTTGCTTCATGTAATTTGCAGTTAAGTACCTAATTAGGTAATTGCCTGTTAATTCAAAGACTGCTTTTTGTGCAACTGGCTTTGAAAAAGTGCTGCCTAAAAACAAGCAGAAAGAGAAAACATTAAAATGTTGCTTTTCTTGCCTAATTTTAATTACTCTTTTTATCTCCCAGTGAACGTAGTGCCCCTGGATCGTGGTGCAGAGGACCAGAGGTGCGTGGGAGCTCCTGGCACTGAGCATATTTAAGAAGTCACTAATATTTGTATAATTAATTGCTTTTCAGACTCCCCCACGTTGCTCTCCAGAAGCATTTCAAACTCGACACACAGAAGCTGTTTCTCCATGAGCAGCTGTGGGGCATTTGGCTGGTGGTTTCGACAGCAGGCAGCAGAGATGAATCGAGGACGTGGCATCCGCAGTCATGACCTGGAATTTGAACTCTTTGGTGCCTCTCCCTCCTCCCAGAGGGATGGAGGGGAGGCGGAAGATCTCAGGATCTTCTGATTGCCATCGATCCAGCTGATTTGCTGAGCACTGGCCTCGTATTGTGTCTGTATGCTCTTTGAGAGATGATTTCAGTCTGAAAAAAAGCCTGTGAGTATCCTGAGAGCTGGAAATCAGATGCTCTGATCTCACATTTCTCCAGCATTTAGCCATTGCCTCTACAACCAGCACCTCATTAAAAAAAAATTTTAAAAAATCATGAAACATAAGAAAAACCATGAGATTAAAAAAAAGATGAATGTTGCTGATTTTAAGCCCTGACTTACAGGTTTTTTTGTTCTGTTGTATTTGGAAGGGAGAGAGAATTGGATCATATTTTCATCTTTTTTTCCCCCCCACATCCATGAGGACTAGACACTTCTTTAATAGAGGGGGAAAAAAATAAATTGAGATTTCCAAGTGGTAACATGACTGAAAGAAAACGTGAATACATGGAATTCATGCCAAGGTGGTGAGGTCTGGCAATGCTGCCATGTGTCCTGTGTTACACTCAGGAGTGGGAGAGAGGCACTTGCCTTGTGGATGCCATGCCAGTGGCTGCTCCTGTCCTTCTCTATGGTTTCTGGGGGTGGGATAGTCACGTCTGAAGACAGAGTTGTAGGAAAGAGTCTCCAAGAAGGAAAACACATGGAGGGGTATCCATGCAGCCCTTTAGTACCTGTATGGATGTGAGCTAAAGCTAAACAGGACTGGGGTATGGAGATGGGCAATGTGCATAATTGACTGCCCTGATTAATTAAAAGCAACTTCTTGGCACGGGCGATGATGGAGCATCCTCAGATGGATCTGCACGTGTTCCAGGGGACATGTGCACCAGTCCCTCCTGCCTGTGCTGGGGTGAGGCTGTGCATGGGCAGGTGGCGGGCAGGAAAGCAGCTTTGCCAAAAAAAACCAAGCCAAAAGGGAGCAGCCACATCTCCACTGCAGCTTCAGGTCGGTGTTGTGGCACCAGCGCAGATGTACCCCATGCTTCTGCAGGGGCCCCACGCTAGAAACAGCTGCTGGAGGACGTGTGGGATCAAAAAGGGAATCCTGTGCACCCAGGGAATGTCCTTTTGATGCAGGATCATAAGCAAAACCCTAACAAAGTAGTGATGGATCCAACAGCCCTGGGCAGAGCCCACACTGCTGGAACCACCTGCTTCATGGAACATTTTCCTAGAGTTAAGTAATGGTTTTCTAAAAATTTATCAAATTGCTTTTGTTTTTTTTTCCTCCCCAAAGGCTTTTTTTACCATCTGTGTGCAGAATCTCCAGCAGAAATTCCAAGATCTGGAGTGATTTGGTCCCATGCCATGAGAACGATCTGCTCTGCACACCTTAGGCCGTGCAAAAAGGAGAAAGAGAAGAAGGCAAAGCTTTCTGTGAGCTCTCTGTGAGCCTGATCACTCATCAAAGGCAGCTGCCTCCTGTGCTGACCTGAGGACGTGACAGATGTCTGTAGCCTTTACAGGTGCAGGGCCTGCATTTCATCAGTCTTTTTTCCTTGGGTGACTTGGAGCATGGATTATTAGCAGCTCGGATTTCTTTGGCCATGGTGCTTTGTTGTGTACACATCCGGGTTAAATCTAAGCAATAATTCTGATCCATGTAGGCTTCTGACTTGGTTCTGCGTCTTCAGTGTTTACAAAATGATCAACATTTGAACTCTCCTGTTCTTTTCCTTAAATGTCAGCAGAAACTTTTTTTTTTTTTAATAAACAATGCAGTCTCCCCCTGCAATGTCTGTAACCAAGAAACTGTGGCATCACCAGAGCATGAGGAAATATTGCTGATTAAAACCAGGGTAAGAAATGACAGTGAAAGTGTTTGTGATTTTTTTTTCATTGCAGAATCACAATGAAGTGGCTGGTAAAATGGGACCAGCTGGTTGAGCCCCACTTGGGTTGAATACAAGGTTTAATGCACTGAAACTACTTCCACTGGCATGTGGGGCTGGTCATATGCTTTTGATATGAAAACTCTTAACTGTAGTGTGGCAATTTAATTTCTCATGTGAAACACGTCTCACAGCACAGCTTTTCTCCCACCTCTTTCTGTTTTGATAAAGCAAAGGAAGTTTGGGCTATTGTTGGCTCTCTTTGTCTTGTTTTTGTCTTTTTCCTGAATCTCATTAATATACAAGTGGTATTAAATAATAATGATGCCAGTAGTGACCTCTGCTGTGCCTTGGTGTTTGCTCCCTTTTGCTTCGAGGAGCAGATGTTGTCTGTCTTTGTTTTCTGTCGCCAAACGGGGACTTTGCCCCTTTAACCTTTGATAAGGTGCCTTAATAGCCTCTAATGTGAGATTTTATCACAAGCCAAGTAAAGGATATCCGCCTAGTAGCTTTTATTAAATGTTCCCATCGTGTTTTACAGCAGTTTAAGGAAGTCCAGCTTCCTCTGTGTTTTTGCAGGTGGTATTTATCTCCTGCAGCCAGGTGAGCATCCGCTGTGGAGGGAGCACCCATGGGCAGAGGTCCTGTCCAGGGCTCTGTCCTGGGTGCTGCTCCAGCACCAAGCCCTAACCAACCTGCACCACAAACCAGTCAAGCAGGGTGATACTATGAATGATCAATGGGATCTGACAAGACTCGCCTGGACCAGGTTTTCCAGGGATTGCTGATGTGAGATGGGGAGGGCGGTGTGTACACAAATGCTGCTGGGGTCTCGGTGCTTGTTCTCCTCTTGCTGTGTGCATGGCCAGGAGCCACTGGCTGCTTTTGCACCAGTAGTTAAATGCTGTAGTGCTGTAAATCTGCTCTAACCCTTCCTACGAAGAGACACCCTCGCTACATCCTTCCCTTCCTCGTCCCTTTTGCAGCGTTTCATACTTTGCTCCTGCACTCAACCACCCCGAAAACCCCAAGGGAAAGTCCACTTCTCAGTTTCTACCTGTTTATTTACCTGGGCATATACATGGCTCATATGAACAGCCATCAGCCCTGGGCTGGGGTGGTGAGGGCTCTCCCTGGGGCAGGCAGATTGAATTGCACCTTAGGTGGGAGTGTGCCTGGCTCCGGGAAGCCTTGTGGGCAATTTGGGAAGGTGGCACTTTGTGGCTGGGTGCTCTCCCACAGCCTCTTGCAGTATTAGGGGTGGCTTCTGCTGAATCCCCCTTGGCCTTCCCACATCTCTCCTTAATTACATTGGATTTGGTATTCCCACCACTGCCTTTACTGTCTTGGCCTGTTTGACACCTTGCCATGTCACACCTGGGGAACATTTCATTGACACCCTTTCTTCTGCCAGGCTGGGGCAGCAGCAGACACAGAAGAGCTGCTGTTTCTTACTGATCACCACACGGAAAATAAAACAAGCAAAGGAACCACCTCCTTCCCCCTCCAGACCTGGAATTTCACCTGTGCCGACAACGTCTGCTTTGGTGGACAAGCCTCGTGCCTCGTGTTGCCTGCTAGCACTCTCCTTGTGTCCCTCACCCTTTGTAGGGCTTTATTTCCCTAAGCCACATCCCATCACACTGCACCTGGGCATCCCCAAAAATTTGCCTGTTCCTGTGGCTGGGACGTGCCCTGGGCAGAGCTGCTCCTGCCACGTGGATGGCACCAGCACAACGCCATTATCACCACCACGGGGCTGCTTCAGCCCCATGCACAGCCCATACACCCTGTGCTTTCCTGTGCCAAGGTTCTTGCCAAGGCTGCAGCCTATAAATAATCCAGGAGTCTCACCTCCTGCTTGGCTCCACACGCTACCACTCTGCTTTGTTTCACAACGAGCGTGCGATCCCGCCAGCCAGACCTGCAGCCACCCGATACAGGCTCCCTTGGGATAAGCCTCGAACACTGACTTCCCAAATTACCGTCTGGAGCGATGGGTGCAGCCGAGCTGAGCCAGCAATCCTATTCCAGCTGCTGGCACTCGCTGAAACATCTGCCTCGCCTGCATCGTGCCTGTTGATGGAGCTGTGAGCAGCTCCCGGCATGTCATTTGGGAATATAAATTGAGTTCTTCCGAGCTGGAACCACCTGCTTCAGATAATTTCTTTGGCAAGGAGTCCTCTCTTGCTCTCCATCCAGGATTTTTGTGCCTCCCATCACTGCCAGCCCTATGCTGTCGCTGGTGGGGGGAGGTGGTATTGATGGGTGGAAGTTTAGGTGGATCCATGGGGGAAATGTCCTGCTGCCAAAGCACAGCAGAGGGAAATGTGCTTTTTAAACCATGAAACTGTAGAATCACAAACTGGTTTGGGTTGGAAGGGGCCTTTAAAACTCTTCTAGTCCAATCCCCCTGCCATGGACAGTGACAACTTTCACTAGAGCAGGTTTCTCAAAGCCCTATCCAACCTGGCCTTGAACACTTCCAGAGATGGGACATCCACTGCTTCCTTAGGCAGCCTGTTCCTGTGCCCCACCACCCTCATCACAAAAAACATCTTCCTTGTGTCCAATCTCAATTTACCTTCTTTCAGCTTAAAAGACCTCTCAGATTTGGCAGCAGGACCGATGCAGAGACACTGGGGCTTCGTCCAGAGGAGTTTGCCCAGATCCCATCAAGATGCAGGTGAGACATGCTCCTCTCCTCCAGCACTGATGGGCTGAAGGCCTCAGCTTGGATTCTGTCTTGCTTTAGGTGCTTGGGTTTTGAGGCATTGATGCTGAACTGAGGCTGGTTGGATGCAGGAGCAGAGAAACAAGCAGCTCCCAGGGAAAACAGGCAGCTGTTGCAAGGATCAAAATGACCTTGGCAACCCTGCCTGTTCTGCCTGTGGGAAAGAAAGGGGGTGGGAGTAATGGCTGCTGCTGCCCTCAGCTTCCCTTTCCCCTTCATAGAGTGACACACAGCCCTCCAGGTCTGTCCCTGCCCCTGCTCCTTCTTCCACCCCAGCAGTATCCATTAGATGAGCATCTAATTAGGATCCAATAAACACACTTAAATTGTTGTCTGCTGAAACAGAGGTGGATCCCACATGGAATTGTGCCAGCTAGGCACCCAAAACTTGAGCAAATGGGGAAAAGCTGTTTATACACCTAATTGTTGGGAAACTGGTGTAACATCATCAAAGCACGCTCAGGGCCGCAGGTGGGGTGCCCTGGAAGAGCCCAGGTGTGCCCAATGCGACCACTCATCTCCTCGGGGATAAACACTGTGCAATGGTGTATTTTTCCCTTTGGAAAAGCAAAAATAAACCAAACCCAAAGGCCTTGGTGGTTTGCTCTCCTTGAGGGGTTGGATGTGAGCATGTTGCCATAAGAATCTCACAGAAGAGGAGGAACATAAACATCTCTCCTGCATCCCGTCCAGCCAGCGGGGAGAGCGGGGTTTGCAGAGCCGAGCCCGCAGGCAGCGGCTCCCCCAAGAAACTCCTGGAAAGCCCCCGATTTACATGCACCAAGAGATGCAAATGCTGTTTCACTAGAATGATCGATATTGGAGCTGCCAGGAGGTGAGACTCCTCTGGTGGGACTGGCTGGGACGTGGGGGTGGATGGAGGAGGGTGAAGCAGCCTCTGTACCCCCAAATTCAGCCCTGCACTCAGCAGACCAGACCAGCAGCAGTAGGAAGCACTGTAGGGTGGTGCTCCACATCATCCTAAAGGATTTTTTTTCCAGCATCTAAAAGAAAAAAACACCAAAACAGATAGGGAGAGCAACAATCACTCATCAAATCTTCCAATTTCTCCATTTATTTCTCATCCCCTGCAACTGTTTCCTTCCTCCCCCCCCCGCTTTCTCCCTGTGCAGCCAGTTTCAAGTGTGTTTTCCCAGGATTTGTGCCCAGGATTGGCATTAAGTAAACTCTCTATGGCAACATCCACTTTTGCAGGACCTCACACTTGGGTAGTGGGATAGGGCCATGGAAGGGGGCAAATGCTTGGAGCAGTTTGGGGATCCCTGGGGAGAGGCATCCTTCTGGGTGAAGTATTTTCCCATGCAGATGGGAAAGCAAAGGTGCTTGGGGGAGCAGCAAAGCAAAGACCAGCAAACAGCCTCAGCAGTGGCTGCTTTGATTTCCAGAAATGCAATTAACACCTGCCCCGATGCAACTCCACTCCAGAGAGCGAACCAGCGGGAAAGAGCTGCTCTTCCCAAACACAAAGTGATGCCCCAAGCCCTGTCCGCTGTTTGCTTGAGTGATGCCTGTGGAGCCCAAAGGAATCACAGAAGAGCCAAGTCTGAGTGTTGTTTTTAACTCAGTTTTTTGATTTAATCCAAACTGTAGAGCCAAACCTTACTATGACTTATATTCTTAGCACTGTCCATATGTCTGTGGTGTAAGTGATGGGTCAGGAAATAGATGTGGGCTCAAAAAAAATGGGGTTTCTCCCTCTTACTTGTGAGTTAGTTTAATCTGTGTGGCTCTGCAAAAGCTGCTGTGGATGTCAGAGCGTGAGCAGTGGATGTGGGATGGGTGGACTGCAGCAGAGAAACACAGAGGGGTGTGGCAGGTCTGCTTGTGCCACTTAAACTACCACCAAACCTCAGCTTCACATGCACCTCCTGACAGCAGAAAGTGCGAGGGACACAGCATGGAACCCTTCCCAGTCTTACCAGTTTGGACAAAAACTCTAGGCACAGGAACGGCTCTTGCTCATTGAATCACAGAATGGTTTGGGCTGGAAGGAACCTTTAAAGGTCATCTGGTTCCAACCCTTCTGCCGCAAAGAGGAACATCACCTAAAACAGGTTGTTCAGAGCCCCAACCTACCCGACCTTGAATTTTTCCAGGGATGGGGCATCTACCACCTCTCTGGGCAACCTCTTCAGTGTTTCACCACACTCATTGTAAAAAATATCTTCATATCTAGTCTGTCATGCCCCAGGTGACCTTTGTGGTGCATCACAGAGGTGGGGACGGGGGTCCTGTACGGTTGGTGCTGCTGCCTTGCATTGCACCCCAGCATCCCATGCGACCATTGGCATGTCTGGGATGGGCAGGGTTTGCTCCAAGGCACTCCCCAGGAGTGGGAGACCCCCAGAGCCAGGAGACCCCTGCAATGCTCACGAGAGCCCAAATATCCTTGTTGAGTGAGTCAACCGCTCTTAGGAGCAAAGATAATGTTTTAGAGGTGATCTTGAACAGGGGACACTATTCCAGTGAGTTATAGACCAATGAGGCAGAGTTCGGAGCAGAAAATTGCTTTTAAGTTCAGCCATTTAAGATATCAGCATTAGTTTTGCTTCTAAAACTTCCTGAGTGTGAGCAAGAATCACCTCACCCACCCGCACTCACTAAATATTTAGTCATTTTTAACAAGTTAAACAAAGCCCTTTGATTGGATTTATGCTAATGGCTCCTCCGTAGGCATTTCTGATTCATTTACATTTCATTTTAAAATTGCCTGTGTACATTGCTGATTCTCACCAACACCATTAGCAGATAAAAGGAACAAGTAACGGGTCACAGACGCCACAAGATGGCAATAGTTGAAGAGCAATTTGTTCCTGGAGGAAGAGATCCGGGGTTCGGCGGCGAGCCCTCCCCGTAAGGGCAGCGCTGCCTGTGCATTAACCTTCGCACTCGCAGGAGGGCTTGGGGGACGAAAGCAAAGTGGTTTGTGCCGGGGTGGGTGGGTTCATCTTCCCCCCACTCCCAGGAGAAGCAATGCAGGAGGACAGAGAAGATGTGAGTGCTGTTCAAGGTCGGCCCAGCAGTGTTCTGCCTCATGGTTTCAAGGATCAAAACTTGCAGCATGAAGCACACCCGCACATGGAGTCTGAGTCCTGGCTCTGGGTGCCAAGGTTGGGGTTTCCTGGGTCAGAGCCTCTTGGGTAGGTGGCATCCGGGGTGTTGCTGTGCCATCGTCCTGTGTGCATCTACAGCACCTGATTTGTGGGGTCAGGAGAAGAGGTCTCAGCCCCACAGCAACCCTAGACCCAACACAGAGGGGGTTTCAGTGGATAGGAGTGTCTCTGACTCCGTGATAGAGATAAGACCTTGGTGAGCCACGCTGCCACCTGATTACTCTTCACACAGTGTTGGACCCTGTATGACCTACAAGCCTCATGTTCAGGGCTTCTGGATGGCCTTTGATACATGCCCCTACATTTTGCCCTCTAAATTGGAGAGATATGGAGGAACTGTTAGGTGGATAAGGAATTGTCTGTGTGGCCTTATCCAAAGAGTTTGATCAAACATTTCATGTCCACATGGAAAGGAGTAAGGAGTGGTGTCCCCCAAGGACTTGTACTGGGACTGGTACTATTTAATATCATCATCAATGACACAAACAGTGGTTTCTAGGGCACCCTCAGCAGGTTTGCAGATGACACCAGGCTGAGTGGTGTGGATGATGCGCTGCAGGGAAGGGATGCCATCCAGAGGGACCTTGGCAGGCATGAGGAGTGGGTCCAGCTGAACATTGTGAAGTTCAACAAAGCCAAGTATAAGGTGCTGCACCTGGATCAGGGCAATCCCCAGGGATGCCACTTCTCTGGGATAGGTGCTGGGGGCCTGCATGTGGGTGACCCATGGCCAAGGCAGAAGGTCTTCCCGAAGGAGACCTTAAATGAGCGATGGGGAATGATCCATCACGCTCAGTGGAGGGCAGTGAAGGAGCTCATTTCTGCAGTGAATGTTAAATGCAAAATCTTTGTTAATGCACGGGGGTTTGGCACTCTACGCTGTCCAGGTGATGAAGCCGGGAAGATGATGCCCTGTTGAGCAGGGGAGCCAGGAGATGGAGGAGGTCTGGTGGAAGCACCCAAAACTCCATCTCTGTGGGATGCAGCATATTCTCTGCCATGTCCTGGTTCCCCTTCCTGGGGACTGGCAGCAGCACCTGGGTGTTCAGGGTGGCCATGGGCTGCTCAGAAGCCTCTGCCTGTGTTTTAGCCCTGGGGGAGGGAGCGAGGGGAGCAGGATCCCCAAGCAGGGTGTCTTTATGGTGTCAGATCATGTGTGGTATCCTGGACCAGAAGGATAGAAAGGACAAATACATTGCAAGTCACCAGGTGTCACTGATGCCGTCCTGTTGTCTGGCCAGAATGTGGTGGTTGGGCCAATTTTATGCAGGCAAAGGTTTTTTCTAACCCTGAGGCAAACCCCATTCTCTGCAGGGTGTCCAGCCCAGTCTGGCTGCCCTTGGTTCTCCCCACAGCATCATCCCAGTACGGGCAGGGTGGATGGAGATGTAGGAAGCAGATAACCTACTGCTGCTGCCAGCATCAGATCAGGGAGGTGGAGGTGTCTGGGCTTTGGGGACTGAGCCATCACTAGGAAAAGTCAAGAAAACAAAGGGTGGGTGGTGCCACCAGCCAAAAAGTGGGTCGGATGCTGTGGGCAGGACCCACCACAGCTGTGTCAGGAGTCAGGGATGTGGCAGCAGGGAGAGCTGGGCTCTGAGTGCACGTGCAGGAGCTCAGGGAAAGGGAAATCAGGAGGGAGCAGAGGTCCAGCTAAGAGCAGAGCAGTTTACACACATCCCCTGTTCCGTGATGAATGGAGACATGAGATACAGTCGGTGAATCCTGAAATCTCTCGGGATTAAATGATTACATTAATCTTTGCTTTCTCTAAGCCGCGGTAATGGCAATAGCCACATGCTGGTTCCAGTCCAGAGCCATCCACGCTGACTTCACGGTGACTCGTCGGGCAGCTGGCACAGCTCACAGTGTCCTGACATGCAAATGTCCCTCTCCAGCCCACATTCACTTTCACCTGGTGACTCTGGGGTGGTGCTGGGCATGAGGCAAAAGCAGAGCAGGGATACTGTGCTGTGGAAGCATTGCTACCAGTGAGGCTTCTTTTAAAGTCTCCTGGACTGATTTCCTTTGCTGGAGTGCAGGACCACCTCCCAGTGTGTGCACGTGCTGTCCATATGATGGTTTGCTGAACCACCCTGGGGCAGGGAAGGTCCTCCAGGCCACCTGAAGGTCAGTGGATGGCAGAGCTACATGGATTGGCCTTTTCCATCCACCCTCACCTGCCCTGGCATCACCTGAAAATGACATTTCTCCTGAGTAAGTCAGTGATGGACATGACCAGGGGACATCCCTGGCCATGGTGATGGCTGCCACCCCAAGCTGGCCCCATGGCCAGGCTCCAGAAGGAGCCACTGGCCACTGTGGTTGTTTCACCTGTGATGGCTCTTGCTGGGCAGAGGTGGATGAAGCTCTTCACCCCATGCTGGTTGGTAGCTTCAGGGCCAACTGTGGTGTTGTGAACACTTCAAAATATAGTTATGTTGGATTCCTCTATACCTCTGAGGATCTGGGTGGAGGAAGGAGCCAGTGCAGAAGCACAAAGGGTGTGTGTCCCCCATTTCCAAATTCCGCCACTATCAGCTATTTTCTGCCCTCACTAGCAGTCAGGCATAACAACATATGCATGGAGGGGAGGAGAAAAAGCTCATGGAATTATTATGGGTTTTTTTGAGACCAGAATTGATGTTTACACACCAGAGCTAAATTATTTATACACACAATGTTATAGGTTTCACATCGGTGGCTTTTATTAGCAGTCGACGGATGAGAAATCATACCTGACCTACTTGTACAAACCTCTCTTGTGCCTCTCTGTGATGACAATGTGGCAGGAAGGGGTGAAGGTCCTCGCCCCAGCCCAGCTGTAGGGATGCTCGAGCAGTGGGAGAGCCAGTGGAGGGAGAAGGGCTATCTCAGCACCTCCTACAAGGCACTTTGCTCCTTTAGATTTAGGGGAGAACAGGCACAAGGGGGTTATTTTTCTTGCAAAATCCTGGCTACATCTATTTCTCTAGGAGGCTCCATGGGTTTTTTCCTAGGACCATGTCCCCTCCCTTCCCCAGCAAAGGAGAGACGTGCTTCCCAGTGAGGCCTCAGCAGAAGGGAGATTTTTGGGGGTGAAGTTTTCTCTACTGGAGGGGTGGCTGCATCAGGACCATCCATTCCCAAACCACTCTGATGTGACAGCCTGTGTTTCCCCCAAAAGACTCAGCCAGCCGTTTCTAAACCAACATGTCACAGGCACCTGAGATGACTTTCTTCTTGTCTTGCAATTAATGCATTTTTTATAAAGCTCAGGCTCCAGTTTCCTTTCATGTTACCAGGAGGATATCCTTTTTCCTCTTCAGCTTCAGAAGGATTTTTTTCAGCCAAAGTATTAATCTCCAGTGTCCTGCACACAGGACAGAGGGATGACTGGCCCAGCAAGGATGCTGGAGCTTGGCTGGAGCTCATGTGTGGGTGCTGACAATGGCACTGGCTCCATCCTAAAGCTGTTTCAACAGGTGAAACTGCAGCCTGGCAGCAGTACATTCTGGTGGCTTTGCAGCACAGATGAGATTTAGTGCCTTGCAAATTGCAGCACACAACAACATTTCTTGCTCATAATTGTAGCTTAAATACAATTTAAAGTGCTCCACTTCAATGTTACAAATAAGTGTATTTACCTGCTCCTTGTTTAAAAAAAACAAGCCAAACAAAGCCACATTTTAGCATCCTGGCCTTTATCAGCAATAGTGTGTCCAGCAGGAATAATAAATAATAATGGCCAGCAGGAACAGCAGTGATTGTTGCCTTGTACTCAGCACCTGAGGCTGCAGTTTGAATCCTGGATTCAGTTTTGGGGCCCTTCCTACAAGAAAAACATTGAGGTGCTGGAGCATGTCCAGAGAAGGGCAACGGAGCTGGGGAAGGGTCTGGAGCACAAGTCTGATGAGAAGCGGCTGAGGGAGCTGGGGGTGTTTAGGCTGGAGAAAAGGAGGCTCAGGGAGGACCTTGTCACTCTCTAAAACTCCCTGAAAGGAGGATGTAGCTAGATGGGGGTCAGTCTCTTCTCCATACTAACAACCAACAGGACAAGAGGAAATGGCACCAGGGGAGGTTTGGATTGGATATTACAGAAGAATTTCTTCCCTGAAAGGGTTGTCAAGCACTGGCACAGGCTGCCCAGGAAAGTGGAGGAGATACTATCCCTGGAGGTATTTACAAGACGTGTAGATGTGGCACTCGGGGACATGGTTTAGTGGTGGGCTTGGCAGTGCTGGTTTAGTGGCTGGAACTGATCTTAAGGGTCTTTTTTTAATCTAAAGGATTCCATGATTATATGATTGGGGATGGATGGATAAATGGATATAAAACTGGACATGACCCAGCAACGTGGAATCACAACCCAGAAATCCAGCTGTATCCCAGGCTGCATCACACCAAGTGTGGCCAGCAGTTTGAGGGAGGTGTCTGCCCCTCTAATGGGCTCTGATGAGACCCCATCTAAAATGCTGTATCCAACTCTGGGGTTCCCAGTATAAGACAGATATGAAACCGATGGAGCAGGTCCAGAGGAGGCCACAAAGATAATCAGAGAGCTGTAGCACCTCTCCTGTGGAGACAGGCTGAGAGAGTCGGGGTTTTTCAGCCTGGAGAAGAAAAGGCTCTGGGGAGACGTTATAGGGGCTTTTCAATACTTAAAGTGAGGTCATAAAAAAGATGGAGAAGGACTTTTTACTGGGGCCTGTAGTGACAGGACAAGGGACAACAGTTTTAAAGGAAAAGACAGTAGGTTTAGATTAGATATTAGAAAGAAATTCTTCACTGTGAGGGTGGTGAAGCACTGGCACAGGTTGCCCAGAGAAGCTGTGAATGTCCCATCCCTGGAAGTGTTCAAGAGCAGGTTGGATGGAGCTTTGGGAAACTTGGTCTAGTGCAAGATGTCCCCGCCCATGGCAGCGGGGTTGGAACTTTAAAGGTCCCTTCCAACCCAAACCACCCTGTGATCTATGGTTTACATGCTCTTTCCACACTCCTCAGTGGAGGGCCTGCACTAACTCGTGCCATGCCACATGGATGCAACACAAGCACCCAGCTCCAGCTGATCCGTGCAGCCACAAAAATGTTAAGGAAACTCTCTCCGGACTTTTTACCAGCAGTGTTTCCCTAGCACTCCTTATATAAAGCCAAAAAGGTGTGGCGAGCCACTCTTTCACTCCACTGGCTCCTTGTAATCAACGGAAGATTACCAGGAACGTGTTTTTGCAGGAAATATTTTCTAAGGCTAAACAACATTTGATGAGGGTGTGATAATGAATTACCAAGCATATATCTTTGCCGCTACTCCAAATTATGAGTGTTGGTTTGTCCTTCCCTTGTGTTGTTTCCATAGAAGCAGAGCTTAACCTTTTAAGTGCAGATTACAAAGGCACCTAATTCAAGCAAAATTAGACTTCAAGCATATCAGCACTTAATACTCAAGAGTTATTATGTGATTGGATATAGATGTTGTTGTGATTGGCAGGGAGCATGGTTTCCGGCTGAGCCAGTTGGAAAAACAGCACTGTGGTGGAAACTTTTAAGGTTTTCCTAGACTTTTCCCTGTGTAGTCCACTAATTGCCAGATAATTCCTCTAAAATATGTGAATCCAGCACAGAACACAGGAACGCACGTGCAATTAAAGTTATTTATTGTAGGTTTTCTTTTCTGAACTGACAAAGAGGATTTCCCAGAGATCGGCAACACGACACAATGTTATACACCATTTCACAACTAGTCCCTTGTCGCTTTATTAAGAACATAGTAATTTAAAAATATCTAAATATTTACATATTAATAAAACATATATACAGAAGATTGAGACATTTTTACCTAAATATGGAATGATTTTTTTTCTTCTCTCTAATAAACCCTATAAAAAGATTTCTGAAGAAAGTCTGAACAGTAGTCACAGTAAGTAAACACAAATGCAATCTTCCAAATTTACAAAATGCTGATTTCCTTGCTGAAGGGTTACGATACGGACACGACGGACTGGAGCCCCCTGCCCAGTGCAGGCAACTCCAAGCCATGAAGGAAGGAAAGACTCAAAATTTAAGGTTTGCAGTGCACATTCAATCTATTCCACAGTTTCAGAGAGAATATGGTCATTCCTAAAAGTCCATGGAAGGTGGCTGGGAAAGGGCTGGGAGCCTGGTTTCTCAGGTGCCAAGAGAACAAACCGTTCCCGTTGGCTTCAGTGTTATTTGTGGGTATTCTACGACATCTGAGAAACGAGCTTTAGGGTTGTTAAAAAAAAAGATTAAGTATTTTAAAACCATCCCACTTTGTAATAGCACTTCTGTTGAGACACTCAAAAGGCCAAATAGTTTCCAAAAAAACAAATGTACCTAAGATACACACAGGGAAAGGAAACACAATGGTAAAGGCTCTAGGACGCTGTCCCTCGAATTCCACCAAACATGCTCAAACTACCTGGTGATTGACAGGTTTTGCAGGTAAGACCTTCTAGATTTTTTCCCAACATTTTTAAAGTGAATTTAGTGCTGATGAAAGGTGCAGAAGTGAAGGTTCACATGGAGGGCTGTGTACAGTTTAACCTCAGCCCTGACCTGAAAGGACCGACCCTTTCCACGTCTAAGAGGGTAGTGCAATTTCTTGATCGATTCACTCAGCTGCTGAGATATCAACACAGTGCCAGTCAAAAGGTGACTTTTTTTTCAAAAACAGGTGAATATTGTCGCCAAGGGCAGTGGCTGAAAAATCACAGTGAGCAGACCCTCTTCCTGGAAATTGAAAAATTAATACATTTTGAGATTGAGGTGGTAGGGCAAGCTGGGGGGAACAATGAGGCGAGAATGACCACCTCCAGCAATCTGCTCTACAAAGATGCTCGAGAGCCACTGCACAAGGACCATGTAGGGGAAATGGAGGAATAGCTTCTCCTTGCTGTAACTAGGAGAGTGCTGGGAGGAATCCGGCTTTATTTCCACCTAAATCCAGCAAGGACTTTTTAATCACAGCTGTGTATGACTGGTCATTGGTACTGCAGCAGCCAGGAAAGGAAAAGTGGGTCTGCAGAAGCAAAGAGCTTCGGCAAATCAAGTGCTCAACGAGCCCCCAGGGTTCAGGATGGAGAGAGATGCTACCCTGGTCCCTGGGGACAGGAAGAGTCACCACTTCTGCGTAGCTTAAGATGAAACACTGCTGGCAAGCATACAATCACGTGGAAAAATACAATCATGGAGGAAAAACAAAGGCAAGAGAATGACTTCAGAGTGGATACCCCGCTAATTCAGTAATGCATTGGATATGGAGGGAAATCACCTTTAATTAAGATGAAGAACAGTGAAGCAATCTGGCGGTTTTACACGGAAAATGCATGGAAACAACACAAACTTGTAAGGAAAACTGTATGGATGTCCATGTCCTCCAGTACGCTGAAGTTCTCACGCCGAGCTTGCGAGAATGTTATTGACAGGAGAGGGTGTTTCTATCCGCTAAGAACACTGATGTGAAATTCAAACTGAAAAATCTGGGTTTGCATCTAACAGATGATCTGTTGTGGTGTCAAAAAGGTTACCTGGAGGGAGAAAGAGATTGAAGAAATAAGTTAAACACCCAGGGGTAAATAAAAATTTAACATATCAGTAATTTGCAACAAAAAAAATGATATTTTAGAATTATGGAAATTACGTATTTGAGTTTTAACTTTAATTTTGTGATAGGATTGAACTGCTGGTGTGCACACAGGCAGCAGCTGCTGAGTTCCATTTAGAGTAGAGCTCAATTGGCTAAAGAAAAGCAAATTAAATAGATTTTTTTGAATACAAAATTTGCCAGCGAAGTTTTTCACACAACACACAGTGCAGCCCATTTCAGTGCTGCACTAGGCTCTGGCACAAACTGCACTGTGATGCTCACCCCTTTGAAGTTACGGTTCTGAAGAAGTGAAAAAAGCACCACATGAATTTTAAACCTGGAGTACGTACTTCGAGATCTTATTTGGAAAAAAAAACCCCAAACACTCCACAGCAGTTTAAATGCATATGGGAGAATACATACCTATATACTTTTTTTTATATATATATATATATAAAAGGTGCACAGTATGATTATATCCCATCTTTTTTAAAGCACTTTAAGAATATGCTTTTTCTAAACAGAACAATGAAAAGATGGACAGAAGAATTATGACGAGAGCGCTAAGAACACAGGGCAAATAGAAGACAGACATCAATCAGCCTGAGAGGCAAATACACCCCAATGAAAAGCGAAGACTCATACAATCACACATTGAAAGGATAAAGATTTATATTACAATAAAGGATTTATATTTAAGGTTTCAAAAAGGGTTTTTCTTTTTTTTTCCCCCAAGTTTCGTTTTCTTGATATTGTATTTCAAGAGAAAAGGAGACAACCTGTATAGAATTGGATTGTTGCTGTTTTCTTATCATCTCTTTCTTTACCAAGAGATTGCTCTCATCTTTTCACAAAGCTGTATCACCCCTAGACCTGAGGATTGGGATGTTAGTGTTTCAGCTTCCTTTAGGGATATCAAAATTCTTTCTCATCTTGAAATTAACCCCAGCGTGGAGAAACTACACAAACTCTCAGCACAGCTGTGGTCCAAGGAGGGCTCCCTCACGGTTCTATATCTGCCTATATCTTTCAAATCAAATTTTTGAGATAAGGATTCAAGAAAAGGGTGTTGCAGCTGGCTTACATTTGTTTGCACATGCAGAACTTATGGGTTATGCCTTCCTTTTCAAATACAAAATTCAGACCCTTCACAGAAACTGTAGACCAAAATAAGATGAGCCTTTTTGCAATACTAAATTAGACAGAAAGATTCTAAAAGCTGCCACATTGTCATCCTGATAAAGATCTATCTCACACCTTCCAGATATCCTGTATCACTGGGAAACTACTCACTCTTTCCATTTAGC